TCCTTTAGTTTGTGGCACCATATTTACATTACCAAACCTCTCCTTACAGATGATGCACCTGGGCTGAGAGCACCCCTTAGTCCAAAAGACAAGTATCATTTGCATTTTTCCCCTTGCTTGTTAATCATGGTTTGCTCAGCATAAGTTCATTGCTGGTAATCGAGGCCTTTAATATATCGCACATATTTCCCACCATTTAGCAAGGCAGGCTGCATTTTTTCAAGGATTTTTTTTTTTAAAAAGGGCTGATAAAGATAAAGTAAACTTTTTGTGCAGATATATTTGCAATAAAAACACATTAGTCAGAAAATGACTTTGTGTGCTTGTGATTGCTCACATCTCCTACAAGTAGCTAAATGTAGCTGCTCTAATTATAAGACATTTTTTCTTTAGTTTGGTTCCCTGACTCGGTGAGGTATCACTCTTGCACTCATTACTTCAGATTGTGACTCCTGTAATACTCTGTTTACTGGCGCAATAAATATCTCCAAAGTCACCAGCTTTCACCTGTCTTTGCATCGCTACACTGGCGTCCAATTATTTGGAAGCCAGCAGAGATGCAATGTATGTCAAATCTTTCCATTTTGATTCCAGCAGCTCTAATAGGCCTCCCTTTTACTAATAAACTTTAGGCTGTGGCATCAGAAAGGACACATGGCCTATTTTGTTGGTAAGATGGGTGAATAGCTTAGAATTGTTAAATCATACTTTAGTTAAGAAGCAACTATGTAACTAAATCTTTGTCCAATTAAGCTTGTGCTTACAGTATGTTCACAACTTTTGTTTGCAAATTCCCTTTTGTCTGTAGACATTGACCCACTAAATCCAACATGGAAACCCAGAACCCTTCATCTGTAGCTGTTACCAAACCTCTATGCTGTCCTTAGATGGCTGCGCTGACCACGGCCTGTGGACACGCTACAGTCCTAAAAGATTTAAGGAAGAAGGCCAATTCTCTTGGAAGCCAAATCACAACTTGCTCCAAACTTTGTTCCTCTTTTTTCAGTTTTTATATTACCCCAGTTTTACTCCCAAATGCATCAAATCATAAAACTGAAATGCACTTGGAAGTGACAGCAAGGTAACAAGATTCTACTCTGGAGCAGAAACACACTAGAATATTGGCAAGTCTGAGATGCATTTACCATTATGAGGTGCTGTTTCTGCCTGTCCTGGATCATTAAAGGAATAATAATAGATTAGTTTTGTTGTAAATTGCTAATAAAAGTATTTATACTACATTTAAATATATTTAATTTTTTTAAGTGGTCATTGCAGCAAGGTAAAAATAAATATTTTGGAATTTGACATCTCATTCTTCCACTTGTGCTGTGATATGAATGGATGCCGCAGGATCATTCAGCAGACAGGAACAGGTAAATCTCCAAAGTAATCCTTGTCATTTGCTGGCACTGAAGCAGACACTCAGAAAATCTCCCCCTTGGCTCAAGCGTGACTTTCTCCTTTGGGTCGAGTCCAATGTGAAATGACACCGAGCAAAAGCAAGAGGAGCATAGCCAATAGAAAGACAGAAGTAAGGATGAGCAGGAAGATGTCGCAAGGAAAATAAACTAAATTATATAAAGGATCTTTGTAATTATATCCAAATGGTAGCTTTTGATAATAAGGGCTTTGAGAATGAATGAGTCACCCCAAAGAAAACCAAAACTTGGAGTCTTGACATGCCCAGAGCTTCCTCCCATCCTCCCTGCAGCTCACTAATCAGTATGGCTGGATGGGGATGATGGGACTTTCTAACCTGCCATCAGCCAGCTGCTGTCCTCCAGGCTCCAGGGGGGGGGAAAGAAACAACCAGTGTGAAAACAGTGATTCTGCCATAGAAATGTTTAATTATTTGAACTTTATATTATTTTTCTGCCTTCTTAGTGATATATTTGTGAGTCTCAGCTGCTGTCGCCAAGGAGAAGAAGCTAGTTAGAGCACATATCAGATGCTTTTTTTGGCATTTGAATTAAATTCAAATGGCAACAAAAGTTACTGTTACAGAAATCCATCCAAAAATGATCCAGGTTACAAAATTAGTTCATGAAAACAATGTATAATTGTTTAATTGGAGTTGCACAAAACATTATCTTTGTCGTCTCCAATTCGTTGTGCAAACATTGTCATTTTAAGCTTGAAGAACAGGTGCCTTTTACTGAAAAGTCTTATTTGGAGTTGTAGGAGCTTCTTTTTCTCTCTTATTTTTTTTCAAATCACAGACTCAAATATTTCCTTGTGGATTACATATTTGCCAATCCTTCAAGTCCCCACAACACTACATGTTTGTTTTTTCAAGCAAAGTAAGGCTTGGCCTTAAAAACTATGATACGTTACAGAAATGTTACAAAATAACAAGATGGTTCTGTCTGTGTTTTGTAAAAAGCAGATTAAGGAAACACTGCCAGGGGAATGATTTATGTTTTGGTTGCTATGTGTTTTCCTCTATTCTTCCCCGTTTTTAAAACTGAGTGTGCATAGCATAGCTGTTAGAGCTTCTTCTGTATATTTAAAAGACATTAGGAATCTTTCATCTTTGCTCCATGTTTCTTTTAGTAGACCTAAGCTCGGTGACATGCAGGAATAAGGGGAAACAATTGTTCTGTTCTGATTCTTCTGGGTTTGTCTGAGCTCAGCGGTAGCAGATATTTTCTACAGCCAGGACAAATCTCAGGGTCTAGCTTTTATAATCATGCCTGAAACAGTGCTCGGTGTTTTCACATTGATTTAATAAAATCTGTTTGCTTGATTTTTCACTCTGAAAATGGCCATAGTGTTTTAGTAAAGGTTGTCACTGACTTTATTCCTCATTGTCATCGTGTAAATAAAATGTTTACAGAGGAGTAAACATCAAAACAAAGAATAATTCATGTACAAGTTTCAAAAAAGCTGTTTGTGAGTAGCTAAAATTTATTGTTCTAATTATATAGTATAATGGAGTAATTAGGTAGTTCATGCAGTTTGTTATCCTGTTTGTTGGTGCTTTTCTTTCACTTGCGTAAGAGTTGGTTTGCCAGCCGTATGGATTGTTGGTAGACCAAAACAGGACCCGTCAATTTGTGATGGATAGTGGTCACTGTTTTCTAAGAGGTGGAGGGATCAATTGATTAAATGTTTAAATAAAATAGCAAATTAACTGTTTATGATAATGTGGTATACTCAGCAAAAGTTCATCAATCTATATATTTATTTAAACCATGGCAAAAAAGACCGGTTTTTACTGGACTTTCTCATTTTGTTTGGTTTTGTTATTTTAGTGTTGTTCTCATTTGAGAATATTCCCAGCTTTTTGTAAGCTCAGCAAAGCCCAACCTAAGAATGAGTGTCAGTCAGTTGTGTCAGTTTCTAAATCAAGCTGCAGAAAACAGGGTGTCTCTGCTGTGAGAGAGGCACTTTTACTGAATCTGAAATTTTCCATGTCTGTCCTCATTTATCCTTCTCTAATGACCTTTAATTAGGCTTTAATGCTTCCTCTGTCATTATAGGAATTTTCATACTGCCTAAACAATAATATGTTTTTATTGGCCACTTGTGTTCATGTGCTCTTTCGTCCTTGCTAGAAGCTTATTCATAAGAATTCATTGTTGGTTCTGCAATAAAAAGATATTAAGGATTATCTCTAAAACGGTCAAAAGAACATTTAGATTGCGTTAAAGCTTCTAAAATAAATCTTCATTTTTCCTGTTAGCTGGCTGACTTATAGTTTCCCCTTTTTGAAATATCAAGTAATTACCCTGAAATCCTATATAGCCTGTCTGTAACATTCATCACGTGTAAAAGCAACAACCATCATGTGCTTGGTCTGTTTTCATGAATAATGATATTTATTTTTAGATTTCAGCATTTAGGATTTGATCAATTATAAGGAAAAAAAGCACAAGCTTCCATTTTGAAAGCTTTTAAACGATGGCTCATCTTTTTATATCCACGTGAGTGTGTTTGTTGATGTAGTGGAACTGGGTTCATATGTGATTTTTGCAGTTGACACTTTCATTTGCTGTAATTGGGATCAGTGTGAAGTGCTCGCTGTAGGACAGTCAGTGAATCTGATTAAGTCTGTAGTCTGAGGGTGATAGGCCAAAATCTTTATACAAAGCCACAAACCAAAGAGTCCCAATGCTGTTCAGTCCTCTTCTGTTCAATATTTTCTCACCAACAACTGAAAAAAGACTAAACATGTAGAAATCTCAGAGGTCGAACAACTTTGTCCATTATTTTTAAATGTACTTTTTGAGTTACCTGAATATTGAACAGAAGGCTTTGTTAATTGTACAACATATCAGTCTGCTGCTGAATGTGCGTCTTTGAAAGACACAAGCTGTGTTTTGACATTGTCCTTTAGTCGTCAGTCACCGAGTAATGTCAAGTTGTAGTGAATGCAGTGGATTAGGAAAGAGCAGTTATCATACATTGCATTGCAACAACGTGGTCTGTCTGTTCCAGGAGCTTTGCAATTTTAAATAGTAACCATTTCATTATTATATTTGGTGCAAGTGCTTGAAGCTGGAAGGATTTTAAATGAGCTGGAACTTACAGCACTACGTCATAATCTTTCCTAATTGAAGTTCATGCCATTCTCATTTTTCAGATATTCTTGTAACATTTACGAAATAAATAATCAAATTAATCGTATTAATTTGAACATATAAATGTTTGATAAATAGCAAATGTAATTAGTTTCTGATGTTCAGAGCTGGAAATTTGTGTTTCAGATTGATCTGACCCGGTCAGGCTGTTCTGACATAACAATTGTTTTCTGAAGGGTTGATTTAACCTCATCGTTCCAGTACAGCGAGGACAAGTTTTAAGGCTCGTGGAGAGCAAGGAGAGGAAATGTGTTGGGAACAGAGCATTGCTTTTTTTGTGCATGAATTAGTGTGCATGCGCCTTTTTTTTTTTTAAAGAGTACAGGTTGATTAACTTGTGACATCTTTGCTTATCTAATGATGACAAAGTGTTTTTAATTTTTACACATTTTATTTTTTGTCTTCCCATTTTAGCCATGGGCCACTGACTTTGAGTGGCTGGGCTGGATAAGCTTCTGACAGGCTTTATTAATGAACTATGATACATCATGTATATACATCTCCCACTGACAATGTGGGGAACTAGATAAGGACAGACTGCTCTCTTTAGAATATGTTCTCCAAGAATCGTTTCAATGGACAACATGGAGCAGGTGTTTCCCCTAAAGGAGGCGCAAAGTCAAAAGTTCACCCACCTAAGAAGAGGGCTCCAAACCCAAGGGTAGCACTCGTTATTCGGGGCAAAATACATCGTTTATTGCAAGGATCTGCAGACCACCATGTCCCAGATTCCCACCTCTATTATTCAGGTATTGAGGAAGACGAGGCGAGAGAAACACATGAGAGCAGAAAGGAGCGCAGGAGCATATACCCAAAGGTTAGCCCAAGGGCAGAAGCATATTCCCCCACAGTTTCAAACACTAAAACGCATGGTGTAACATCTGGGCCACCATGTGTAGGAGAGGTGGAACTGAACAGAGAGGGGTGTATAAGAATACCCTGCACTTTGCAGCATAAAAGATGTAGGTCACCAGCAAATATTAAACGAATCTCCTTCGAAGAAGGACTTCGGGATGCTCCGGAGCAATTACGGCCACCCCTACACTATGCTCCGGTTGGTCCAGACGTGAATGGCAAGAAGTTCGTATCAACAGCAGGAAGGAATTTTGCCTCACCCCGTATTCGGCCAAAGAGACCTTATTCTACTGGTGACTGTGTTGACTACAATTTTAGCAGACCTCTCCCTGGTACACTGCTAGAAGAGGATGAAGATAAAGAGGAGGAGTCAAGTGCCATCATCGAGCACATTCTAAAAGAGCTGAGGGGGATCAACAAGATCCAGGAGGAAATCTCTGACCTCAGGGATTACCTGACCTCAGTTCGAGGGTCAGTTGAGGAAGTATCATCGTGTGTAGATGCTGTTCTGTTGGAGATTGAGGGCATTCGTTCTAGCAACAAGCCTGGAGCCCATGCAGGTACTTGGTCAGGGGTAGGGTGCAAAGATGGCCCATCCTGCCGCAGGAGGCCTGCGAGTGCTTATGGCAGTTTAGGTAGTGCAGTGCCAAAGTCAGAGTCAAATTGTTTCCCTCAAGCATGCAATGAGCGCCATAGCATACACAGAGAATTACTGCTATCCCAGCCAGAAGACTCAACAGTTTCCCCAATCGCTGAATCAGTGGATCATCGGGAACTAGAGGAACCAGAGGAACCAGAGGATACCTCTGAGCATAGCTCTGATATCCCAGTAGGCGCTATAGCAAGAAAACTCAGCTTTGGCTACCTTGACAGGCAGGATGGTCAAGACTGCCTGAGCACCAGCTCTTTGTCTTCTGGTCATAGTTCTAAATCTGAATCAGACATAGAAAGACCATCATCTAGTCATGGAAGAAAGCAAGAGAGGACTCGTGATGGGGAGGAACATTGGACTAATGCTGTACCAACACACAGTGGACCTATGGAATCCGTGTGGCATAGGGAAACAGCTTACATAAGGGAGCATGAAGGTGTGAGCCCTCTTTGCTGTGAAGGAGCTGGGAGCTGGGAACAATACAGTGGTGCGACGGGATATGGTACATCTGGGCAGTGTTCTAATGCAAGCTCAGAACATCTCTCTATACACTCTGGAAAGCATTACAACTCACCTGCCAGCAGTTCTAGCAGAGAGGAATGGCAGCCGCGAAGGAGGCGGCCTCAGAACCAGTCTGGGATTCATGGATCGGCAGATCCCAGTGAAAACTCCACTGTAGCATATGAATGTGCTGCTGATTTGTCCTACCCGCAAAGTTCTGGTTACCACTCAGTCGATGGGCATGATGCTGAAGCAGAGGAATCAGACTTTAGGCATTCAGCTGATCTGAGCTTTACAACAACTTGTCAAGTTGAAACGTATTTAGCATATGATGAGTCTACAGCAATGACGTGGACTGAGCCATCCTGCCTGACTGACGCCAGTAACCAAAGCTTAGGAAATCAATTCTCTCACCCTGGCAATGCAGATCCCCAAGCTGGGGGTTTCAATGTCAAACGCATAGGTAGAGCAGTACTTGATTTTAGCTCTGCCTTGCGGGGTGCATTGCGCAAACTTGAAGCACCTGGAGCTGTGAATCCTGAAGAAGAAACAGACTTTGAAATATCAATGCCTTCAGAGCTGCCTACAACTCAGTTGCCTTCAAAACCTTTTTGCTATGAGACACAATTGGTTCAAACATCTGATATAACCCAAAAAGGTGATGTGGTTGGTGGTGATGATATTGCTTTTAGGGAAAGCATAACCAGCACTGTAGATACATTAGATACTTTCTATGTGGAGCCTATGCTTAAAGAAGCCATCAACAGCCTTACATTGGAGTGTACAGAAACTTACCAACACCCTTTTTCTGACATTGTCCCACCGTGTCCTGAGGAACTCCCAGTCTGCCCTGACATGATTTGCAGTAGTGCTGCAAAACTGCCTCAACCTGATGGCCTTACAGAAAAACATGCAGAAACTCTTGCAGATGTGAGCCTTAAAGAAGCTCAGCTTTCGCAATGTACCACTGCGGATTCACTGTCGGCCTCGGTTTTGGCTGACGAACCTGCAGCCGTGGAAGGGCAAACTGATGTCCCACTACCACAACAAACTAGCATGGACGCCCCTATAGTTTCTGAGGACAAATCAGAAGGAGAAGCAGCAGAGCTATCCACAGAGATCAGCCAGATGGATGAGCGCAGGCTAAAGTGTCTGAGGAGCTTTCAGCAGATTCTTCGTGAGAAGAGAGAGACCAGGCGCAGCCTTGCCAGTGTGTCCACCTTCTCTCAGGATGAGTTTGAGCAAGGTAGTCATTACATGACATTTAATGTTGGGCTCATCTGTTGTTTTATTGTATGCATTTTATTTGGTTGTACAACTTTTTCAGTATCACTGCCGGTAATGTTTCAGGGCAACAGCCAGTATCGGTCATTAACCGGAGAATATTGGATTTATTAAGCTGTATTCCACTCTGAGATGTGTTGTGTTAACGAAGAATTGAGCAAAAACATAGAATTTAATTGATCAGACTGATTCAGTTAATTTAACTCTTTGAGTCAGGACTGGATAAGAATATCTGATTAATGCACGTTTTAATTTGGGGGGGTTTTTGCTTTTTTTGTGATTAGAGTAGATGAACCATTAAAATGTTTCAAATGAAGAGCGATATGAACACACTTCATCTTCTCAGTAAAGGAGAATGGGTATTTTAATTCATTCAGATGTCTATAAATGGTAACTGAGTCATCATTTAACTTTTTTTTCAACACAAGTGTTTCTAGAAGAACAAACAGGAAAACTTTTCCTTCCCAGCTTCCTGTCATCAAAGCCTCTTCCCGTTACTGAAACTCTTTGATCTGTCCTGGCTGCAGTGCATCGTTTTCGTTGATGAAAGCTTAACCACCGGTGTCCTCTTTAAATACCCTCACCCAGAGGTTATGAATAAGCCCCAGTACCAAACGGTTCCGTTGGGTATTTACCGTACCAAACGTTTTCTGCTGGCGCTACACTTTTCTTGTCCCTTGAGAGTAATGTATCACCTGCCACTCAAGAGTCCCTTACTCCTCTAAGGCAGTGGCCATTTGCTGAATTAGAAAACATTAATTATCTCCTTGGAAAGCTAGCCTCACATTAAAGAGGAAGGAGAAGCGAAATATTAGGAGTCATTTTCATGATAAATTATACATGTTAATGAAACATTATATGAGCTCAGACCCCATCTATCTGATAGCTCAGCAACTGTGCCGCTTTTAGCATTACTCAGGAATTAACAACAAAATGAGTAATCCAGGGTGTGGCATGTTATTTCACAAACTAGTCTGTGACTGTTTTCCATTTGTTTTTCTTTTTTCTTCTGTGCTGTGTTACAGATGGAAGTCAAGATGGAGATCAGGTTACTTATTTTGTGGTTTCTCCCCCATTAAAATTATAAACGCAGTATTTCTAAAGAAACTGTTCTTTCTATAATTATATTTCTGTTGTATTTATACATTTCCATCATGCTTGTGTCTATATTTAATTTTCCTTTTGCATTTATATCACTTAGATGTTCAGTTATATGTATGTAGTTATGTATATGCAATAATGCCCGCACTGATTAGGACATAAAAGATTGAAACGTGTTAGTCACTGTGGTATTTCCTTTAATACCTTTTAGAAGAAAAAACAAAAACATGGTAAATATTTGGTTTGTGTTTTCTGGGAGCACATGTTATTTGTGTTTACTGTACAAGGGGAAACCACATTAATGAGGCTCATATATGCATGACGACAATTCAGTTGATCGCAGAGTCCTGTTTGGCATGCGGTACTGAAACTCAACCAACACATTTGAGTCCCTGTGCTTCTGTCTTGTTATTTCCTTTTCACTTTCTTCTATAGCTCATGCTTGTGCATGTGCATGCACCACTGTTATGAATCCAGTAAAGCCAGACCCAGTAGCTGAACGCCTGACCTGTGACATTCTTTTTCAGAGCCGAGATCAAGATGGTGACCTCAGCAAGCACCCGTGGGCCAAGCCAGGGTCAGTAAAGGTCTTCTGATGTGTGTGTGTGTTCGTTCAAGCGAGTTAGTATGATACAGTCGACCCTAGAAATTTGCAGGTGTCACGTTGCTAGAGCACCCGTGAATAGTGAAAAACTGTGAATTTTGGGTGTGGTCATAAAATGCATATAAATTCCTGTTATTATAGTTTAAACCCTTAATTTGGGCTTTAAGAAGACTGCTATGATACGAGAATGCTGGAGATGCAATCAGCAGAGATATAGAACGCCCTCAGATTGGCTACTTACAAGTCTCCGCCTCTGAGCACAGGGGTATTTCGCCATCACAAGCTACAAATTCCTCCCAAAAAATTGCGGAGGATATTTGTGGTTTTTGTGGGTAGTTAAGCTCTAAAGAAAAATCTGCAAACGACTAAGGCCGTGAACTGAAGGTATGCTGTACTGTTTTCCTTATTTAAAAACCGATCAATACATTTCCACATTCTATTGTTGTGTACAGGGGGAACACACCGTTTGGCATTGACAGCATGCCAGATCTCCGCAAGAGAAGGCCCATTCCCCTCGTTAGTGAGCTGGTAAGCAAACACTCAATCATTTTCCTTGTGACATTTTAATTTTGACCCTTTCTGACCCTAAACTTGATCAGCTAATTGAAAATAAAGACAGCCACCTTTCATACTGACTTGTATTTGAATATGCAGATGTACCAGTTTGAAAATGTCAGTCAATCGTGACTAAGCGAGCTAAACAATCTCCCACATGAGAGCAATAAAACAGGTTTATCATTTAACTACAATGATGGAGTCAAGTGTCACTGCTGTGAATAATGAACAACTCGCTTAATTAAGTTTTCCCAGCTAGCATGAGTTTCATATTTGATTATATCTAAAATTATTTTGCATTTCTAATTATTGACAAAGTGAAGGTCTGGCTATATAACTATATTCTCAAACGTCTTCACTGACCCATCCAAATCATTGAATTCAGGTGATGCAATCACTTCCACAGCCACAGGTGTATAAGATAAAGCAGCTGGACATGCAAGAGTGAGTCGCTCCCAGGAGCTCAGGGAATTCCAGCAATGTAGTGAAATTTCCAATCTGTTAAATATTCCACAGTCAGCTGTTTGGGGTATTATGACAAAGTGAAAGTGACTGGGATCACAGCAACTCATTGTGCCGAGTGTAAAGTTTGGTGGAGAGGGGATTATGGTGTGGGGCTGTTTTCCACCCTTTAGTTCCAGTGAAAGGAACTCTTTCATTTTGGACAATTTCATGCTCTCGACATATTGGGAACGGTTTGGGGATGGACCCTTCCTGTTCCAACATGACTGTGCACCAGTGCGCAAAGCAAGGTCCATAAAGACATGGATGAGAGATTGTGGGGTGGAAGAACTTGACTGGTCTGCATGGAGTCCTGACCTAAGCCCAGTAGAACACCTTTGACTGCAAGCCAGGCCTTCTAATCCAACATCAGTGTCTGACCTTTCAAATGTGCTTCTGGAAGTTTGGCCTAAAATTCCCATAAACACTCCTAATCCTTCCCAGGAGAGTTGAAACTGTTGAAGCAAAAGGTGTGTCGACATATCAATTAAGTCTATGAATTTTAAGAACGGGAGGTTTTATTATTGGTTAGTTAACAGTATTTTTACCGTATGCACCAAAACAGCAGTGTGAAATAAATGAATATCTGCAGCTTCCATTCCTGATCACTCAGTTGAACCCTTTGGGTTAAAGAAACTGCTGATAAATATCCGAAATAAAGCTAAGGCAGTATAGATCATAGGGGACTTAGTATGTTCATTTCCTGTTTAAGCTCCTCCCCTTTTAAGCTAACTTTCTTCTTATTGGCTGCTACCATAAACTAAAGGTTTGAGCAGCAGAGGATCAGCAAAGGAAGGGTGGGGCTTCTGTGCTCACAGCCAGAAGTGCGTCTCAAAGTTATGGTGTAAGGTAAAAAAAGCTGAATCCGTTCACAGAAGTCTGAAGGTTCAGCTTTTGGTTCACAGGGTTTACTAACCTGTGCAGTACCAATACATACAAGTCAGAAAATAAATAAAAGCATAATAGTCCCCCTTTCAGATTCATGAGCTTCAATGCTGAGCTTTGGTGGAGTACACACTGTTGGCCTAACGATGGTCACCAAAGCTCTCATTTGCTTGTTTTTTTTCATGTACCCATTGCACAAATATGTATTACGGGGATTTTCCAATGTGTTGTTTTGTCTAGTGCATAGTTTTTGTTTCTCTTTGTAACTGTGGTGCACAAGATGTTTTGCCATAACTTTACTTGTGGATTTCAGCTGTAATGACCTATTAAAGGCCTTCAGTTTCTAAAGTGGCAATTAAAAAAAACTGATGCAAGAGTTGTACGTACTACAATCACCTGATTTGACTCTTAAAGACTGATAATTTGCAGGTATATGCTTGAAATAGCACTCGTACAGCAGCGATCGCTGGGTAGTAGTTTGTTTGCAAGCATTGAATTGTTGGTTTCAGGGTAAAAGCTGCTGGTCCTCTCAGAGGGGAACCTGTTTGTTTTGTCTCTAACCTTTTCTTTCTTCTTGTTTTCTTTCTTTGCACATGTCTCCCTGCCTTTGTCGGCCCTCAGGCTATGGTGAGTAAAAGACCAGAGATTTCAGCTGCTGTACTTTATTATTTGTTTGAGGCGCTTTGTTTCAAACTCTGCTTTGTAGCGAAGCATTTTGATCTGCTCAGTGCGAGTTTTTCTTTTGTGGGTTTTCATACATTCAGTGTGAGCATGCACACACATGCAGCACATATGAGTCAAATATAAATCCGTTTATTTCAAAATAAGCTGACAAAACTTTGTGTGAATATTTTCAGATTGGCCTTTTTTTGAGGGGGATTTGTGTTTTCAATTAAACCGCTCCATTTTTTTTACATAACACATCCACTACTCTACAAAAACGCTAATAAATGTTAAGGTAAGTAGTGGCTTTCTCCCCTCAGTCTTCAGCTGAGTACTTTGGAGAGGCTCAGACGTAGATCCATTGACTGCAGCTGTGAATATTCAGTCCCTGAGACTTGTTTGATTAAAGAAACTCGTCTCCTTTGATTTAAAGTGATGCTCCAGGGTGAAGGTCACTCTTTCAATGGCTGATGTGACAGATCAGGTTTGAAGGGATATAAAGATTCTTGAACAAGCTCATCTAACTTCATCAAGCTTTGTCAATTCATAAATCATAAAGAGTAAGTGACCCAGACAGGAGATGATGCCCACGGATGAACAAGAAACTTTTCAGATGGAACTAAAGTAGTTTGAAGATAAAACTGCAGAAACTCGAAAAGAAGAGTAAAAATACGAACAGACAGTGGTTTGTGATGTTACCTGTAAAGAGTAAAAGTTTCAGATAAATAGAAATAAGATAATTACAAAATTGCTGCTATTTTTACAATGCAAAGCACACTTACAGCAGAGAGCTTTTTAGGAGCAACATGGTGTCCAGCCAAAGAGTAATGCAGCCAAACCAGGAAACAGGCACACATAGATACAGTGGGATGCATATTGACTAGATGTAGTGGACTTCTGGTTCTGGCTGATTGTGATGTTATGTGGACTGAGCTGCAGCGTGCCGTATTTCCGCTTTTACTTTGATAGTCTCGTGTGCTTTGTTAGCGTGTTTACTTTTCCTTCTCTTGTCACGTCCTGCCTAATTAGTTGCAGCTGTGTTTCCCTCCTGTTTCCCGTTCTCTGAGTTCTCCGATGTGTGTTTTAGTCCTCAGTCTTCTCCTGGTCGTTGTGGCGTTGTTAACCTACACTCCCTCCGTGCTGTGTTTGCTCCCTTCGTGTTCCAAGAATTCCCTAGCTCGTGTTTCCCAGTTTAGTCTCCAGTGTACAGTTTACTTTCTAGTTTTTGTGTTTGACATTATAGTTAGCTTTTGTTAAGTTAATTTTTATGTAGCGTTAGCTACGCCCTAAGTTTAACTTTCTGTTTCAGAGTCCTGCAATTGGGTCCTTCATCCTGCCTGCCACAGAGCACTCACCATGACAAATATAACTTTAAAAATTCATAAAACCTTTAAAGTGTTTTGTTTTTTTAATAACATTTGATGGCCAGTCCTGTTTTTTAAACCCTGGTGTTATTGAAATTAAAGTTATGGATCTCTTTCCATTTAGATTAGGGTTAGGTTTGCTTAGGACAGGGGTGGGGAACTCCAGGCCTCGAGGGCCGGTGTCCTGCAGGTTTTAGATCTCACCCTGGGTCAACACACCTGAATCAAATGAATAGTTCATTACCTGGCCTCTGGAGAACTTCAGGACATGTTGATCAGGTAATTTAGCCATTTAAATCAGCTGTGATGCATCAAGGACATATTTAAAACCTGCAGGACACCGGCCCTCGAGGCCTGGAGTTCTCCACCCCTGGCGTAGAATAAAATAATTGCGTTGCATCCTGTTGCTAGGACATCCTTCTACAAAAGATATGAAGATATAAATTCTAGATACTGACCTCTTTTTGGCACTTTAAAGATATTTCACCTTGGGCTGTCTACCTGTCCAGTGGTATCGTATCCACTTCTATGAGCTTAGCTGTCAGAATGGATTAGGAGAAGCTGAGCATTTAGAAAGAAAAGAGAAATTTTCCAGTGAGTCACGGCTGGAGAGGGTTTAATTCTTTAAGCATGCTTGGTAATACCTTTCAGGCTGATGCACTTCAGCCAGAGAGGCTTATGTCAGAGAACTGACCATTACAGCAAATTATTGAACAGTTAGCTCTAACAGGAAAGACGATGGTGTTTTAAGAGGGCTCGCAATGACTGTTCAGAGAATTCGATAACCTCACTTCACTGATAAGTTCACACGAACACAACAAACTAGTTGAAAAATAACAGGAGGTTGTGGCACTGGCATGTGATTAATCATCAGAAAAACCGTGACTAAGCAAAAGGTCTTATATCTATCTCACATGCATGATTATAAACTGATCATACTGATGGTTCTCCTGGTTTCAGTGAATGTGACACGTATGTGAAACAGCTCATTCCACTCATATGAGCACAAATTCAGGGCTCAGTGTGATCCAATGCCAGGCTAATATTAAAGCTACGATACGTAATTACCTTTGTTAGGTTAGACAGAACCAGTGAAAGTTTGGTTTATTGATATAGATGTTTAAGACCTTGAATGTGTATATATACAATCTATACTCCAAAAAACCCTCACTCCATATAATGGGCCATTTTTGACATTGTAAATTAATTAATTTTAGCCCTTGATGTCACAAAAAGAGAGTAATAAGTATCTCTCGGTGTCTGTGATCTGATTTCCCTCTCACTAATTTCCAATGAAGGAAGCTAAACTAAATACAGGCAACTAACAATCAGAAAACTCTTCATTGCACTCAATCAAAATACTGCTTCTTCAAGTGAAGAGTTTCGTAATGACTCATTCTGCAAATAAATGACTTTGATCAGTTTAACATGATGATAACTGACAGCAAGCTGCTGTGAGAGGAGTCACTGTAGGATTAAGAAATCTGTGCATGTATTTGAAGAATATTCTCAGGTGCGTCACACAAATGAGAAATGGAAACACTTTTCAGCTTTAGTGGTTTCTAACCTGTGTTCTCTTTATTTACTTCCTTTTTAGTCAATAACTTTCTTATAGTTTCACATTAAATGTAAACCAACAAGAAGCAGAAAATTAACTTAGCTCAGCACAAAGACTGGAAGCAAGGAGAACAACTTCAATAAATGTTGAAATGCTGAGAATGAAAATGATGCAGAGAGGGGCGGAGCACAAAGCAAGCTCAACATAACCGGGCTTCCTTTGTGTTAGCAGACTCATCAAAATCCAGTAATGATATTAGCTTCGTTTTCTTGTACAAAGCTTTCAGCTTTGACACATGATTTAAATAATCGAGTGCCGCCTACTCCAGCCAAGAACAGGTCATAGAGAGATGTGAAGGATAACGATACCATTTCCAACTGAGACACGAGAGAAGTTAATATATGATGTTTCTCTCAGAGCATCTTTAGTGCTTCTTTTTATTTCTTACAGCCGCACAACAGAGGCCTAAAATTTAAACTTGATCTTATTTTTTACATTTTTGCTCAATTTGCCAGATGTGGAACAAAAACCTGAAGACCAACTGCAAAATTTATTGTTGTTATGTGTTTGGTTTTTTTTACCAAAACTTACCAAAATTTATAAAAGGGTAAAAACGCAGGGTAAGCCAATAGTAATGAACACAAATACAGTGAATAAATACGTATAGTTGTATAATTTCAGGGTTCACAGTAAGATCTTGCAGTGTCGACAATTATCTAACAATGTTTCGCAGATTCGCTGTATTGTGAAGGAGCATCACTGTGTGTTGATGATACCGGCAGAGCAACAGCTCACATGATCCTATCTGCATTTGTTATTTTGTATCTTTTTTGTACACTTAATGGTTTTCAGCACCTCCATAAACACTTAATCATAAAATGTAAATCTGTGGGCAGTTACTCCATGCCCCCCTGAATTAACCTAACCTATGACTTAACAGCCTCATATATGACATACGTGATATTCATAGTGAATATTATCTGCTCATCTCAGAAGGTAAAACATAACCACCTTTGTGCCACTGAAAACTCTGCCTTCAGCCTCGACAAACCTGCCGAGCAAATTTGAAAGATTCCTGCTAATCGTACATTACAAAGAGCCTCACAACTGTAGCAGTGCGAGCGTGCGTGAGGGTTCGTCCTCAAGGAGACAATACATGAGAGTAGTGTGTTTCAGACAGTGTGCCTCAAAGACAAAAGGAGAACAAAAGCGTGTGTCGTTCTTGTGATGCTGAGCTTTCACTGCTTTCAAAGAAAAGCCCAACATCACACAAACTATTGATTTCCTGAATTTTAAAGCTGAAAGTTTTCTTTGTCTTTGTCTTTTAAACGTGTTTGTTTGCGTGTTTCTCCGTGGCTGTGAAGTCCTGATTTCTGTTTTCTCTCTCATTTCTAGTCTATGCTACAGTCCAGGAAAGCTGGACTCGCCCACACACTGGCCACACGGACCTCCCTGAAAGACGAAGAGCTTGTGAGTGGCCAAGTGCATATGCCATACAGATAAACACA